AATTCTATTCGTGTTACAACCAACTAGCTGTCTGCTAAGGCTTGGATCATTTCTTATAGCAATTTGCCAGATTGACTCTTTTAATAACGGCAGCACAGTGGTGTGGTGGTTAGCGCTGTTAGCACCTCACAGCTAGAAAGTAGCGAGTTCTACTCCACCGTCTGACCGGGGCCTTTCTGTGTGGAGCTTGCATGTTCTCCCTACATTTGCGTGGGTTTTCTCCGTGTACTCTGGCTTCCTCCCACAGTTTGAAGACATGCAATTAATGGGGTTAAGTGTGAATAATTGTCTGTCTCTGTGTGCTAGCCCTGTGTCAGACAGGTCCGAGGTGTACCCTGCTTCACGCCCTATGGTAGCTTGTAATAAGCTAAAGCCTCCAAGCTTATGTAATTAAAATAAAAATGCAGCTATACTTCATTGCACACATAATTTATACGTCATATTGGTCTGGTATCCTACTTAGGACTTACCTAAGCGGAACTGCAGATAGTCTGTTTCACAGGTTTGATGGTCCTCCAGGTGCAAGTCTTCTATCAACACCACAATAGAGGAGTTGATGTGCTGTGGGTTCTGAATCAGCCACTCACAGTTGAGGTTGTTGCTGTAGTTGGACACCAGGTAGCCAGGAGAAGTGAAGTTGCCACCATCAGGGTTATTCAGGATACCGCCACATTCTAGAAAAACACAGATTAAAATAGCAGATTAGAGTAAATGTTAGAACACAATACGGAACAGCACTTCATTAAAACACAATGAAGTGTAGGTGGTTGAGACTATATCGAGTAACTGACTGACCTGTTACTGATTGGAAATGATACCTATTAATAATTATTAGTAATTAATACTAAGGTACAGACAGGACAGGCAATTGGACTCTTCAGCAATTACAAAAACATCATCCTCCAATAAGGAATAATCTTGTATGACTTTCAGCTTTCTTTGGGTTCCAAAAGTCTTTTTTGTGGTTAAAGAGGTGTGGTTACCTGCTCGTTCCTTTTATCTTTCCCGGCCTATCCATTTGCAGCTCATTACTCACCAGCTGACATACATAACACCTCCTTCCTCACTCTCATTGCAAGTCATTTGACTAGCTAAGATCTACAGTCGCTCAGGCTTCCTAATAGTAGATTATGCTTTCTGCATTTTTCAGTTGGGCCTCTTATTCTCTCTGCTCAGATCCACCGCATGTGCACATGCTCCCTGGATTTACCTGCTGGATCAAAACAGCCTGTCCTGAGATCAGATACAAACTGTGCTTTGTGTGGAAACCGAGCTAGCATTAACAAAGATCTGCTTCAGTTATCATCGTAACAGAGTTTTCTGTTACTAACCACCTTGCCCAACATGTGTGACGTAGATAAGAAGATGGAATCCAGTTTTTTTCAGAAATATCTTCACAGGAGAGCCATTGCAAACATGTATCCATAGTAATGATACAATAGAGTATGAAGTCAAAGGAGCTTGCAAAGAAAAGCGTCTGGACTTCTTTAAGTTGCTTGAAGACGTTT